CTGTTGCATCATCCGATCCAGCCCAGTCGACCACAATCAGGAAGATCGTCGGTGATAATAGGTAGCCTTTTCTTACTCCTGTATTCACTTCGCTTCAAAGGCATTACTGAACAGCGTTCCATTGTGAATCACTTCGCATGTAGCAACATCATCACCATCATCATGTAGCTGTTGAATGAGGTTGATAAAGGTGTGTAGTACTCCTTAGTGTTGAGGCAGTTGCCAAATTACTTGTCCGTCGACGCTATCGAAGGCCTTTTCAAAGTGGATGAAGTTGAGGTAGAGAGTTGACTGTCATTCTATACTCTGTTCCATGATGATGCGTAGCGTTGCAATTTGATCCACACATGATTTGTTCTTCCTGAATCCAGCCAGTCTGTTCTCGTCGTATTTTGAATCCAGTGCACTTCTTAGTCTCTCCAGGATGATGTGGCCTAATATATTGCTTGGTGTGGACAGCAGCTTGATTCCACACCAGTTCTTGCAAAGACTTAGGTCTCCCTTGTTTGATAGTTTGACAAGGTAGCCTTTTTTCCAATCGACAGGTAGGTAGATACGTTTCCTACCCTCCTTCCAAACCTTCTGCACTAGTGGTGTGAGCATGTTTACTGTTGTCTCTGCGTCTTTTTCCAATGCTTCAAAAGTCATTTCATGTGGTCCTGCCGCTCCCACGAATTTCAGCAACTTTATGGCGTTCAGGACTTCACTTCTGCTTTTGTCAGAGGGTTTGTGTTCACTGGTAGTTGTATGGTTGCGGGTGGTATTTCTGGACGAGTTGCAGTTGGTGGTGGTGGCGGTGGATTAAAAAGTTTTTTGAAGTGGTCAACCCATCGTTTCCTTTGTTTCTCCTCTTTGTTAACTGGGTTTCCTTCACTATCTTTCATTGATTTTATCTGAGTTGATCCCTTCACTCCCAGATAGTAACCTGCTAATTTGATATACTGTTGTCAGGTCTCTGTCTCTTCTACAATCAACCTGATCTGCTTCATTTGGTGGTGTGTCGCAGAAGTGTGTTTTGCTTTCCCGCATATTCGTCTTCACTTCTTTATCCAGTGTAGAGTATTATATATTGTGTTCAGTTCCTCTTTTCGTTGTTCATTCCCGCACTGCACTGCATTGGTTCATCTTCTGTTTCACCATCCTCCTCTCCATCACCTATCAACTTCCACGTGTCCATCCACATCCATTCCACTCCTCGTATTCTTTCTTCTTCCTGACTAACACCGTTATGCAGGTTTCTTTACACACAGCTTTCAAAGACTTCCAGTGTTCATCCACACACCGTTCTTCAGGGATGTTGCATCATATCTCTCACTTTGTCTAGATGGCTGGAGTGAAAATGTTCCTTGTAGTTTCCTCCTTCAGTTCACTCTCTGTTCTACGTGTTCAACTTGAACTATGGTCTATCGCCAACTTCTTTGAAGAGTTCAATTTGATTTTGAAGATAGGTTCGTTGCACTAGACAGTGAGTGGTGTGGGCCTACATCTGCTCCCCTTCCATATCTTGTGTCCAGTAGGCTGCCTGTCCACTTTCTTCACATTGAGATGAAGTCGATCTGATTTGTAGTGTGGTGTGTCGTGGTGTCTGGTGAGATCAAATCTATGTCGCTTTGTGGATATTCTTGTACTTGAACATAGTGCCTCCAATCAGCGATTCGTTGAATGTGCAGAAATCTACAAACACTTCTGCATTCTCTTTTGTTTCACCTAGTGGTTCTTGAACCATGATTGGTTCTGTTCCTGTTTTGTCTGCTCCCAGTTTGGCATTCATGCCAGTCATCCATTAGAATGAATTTTGATGTAGCCAACTGAGGTCTTGTCCATTATTGATTGAAGTTGTCTGCAGAATTCCTCCTTTTTCTCTTCATCTACATTGTTTGTAGGTGCATAGTGTAACGTCGTACGATTGTGACTTTCCGTCCTTTTGAGTTGAACCTTGCTGTCATGACTCTGATCCTTCAAAAGGAGATTGGTTCCCACTGCATGAGAGAGAGCCCTCGATGCTGTTGGGGACATCATGATAGCCACTCCAAAACTCAGTGAGCTCATGGTTATCTTCTGGGTGACAATATTGGGGTAGATTATTGATTCTCCAGCTGACAGTTGGGAGAGTCCACTTCCATTACATCTGCTTTCGCAAATTCTTAACACTTCAGTGCGATACCTTCTCATCTTGTTTGCAATCTGTGCAGCCTTACTTGGTTCATACGTGGTGCGGATATTCCACGTCCCCATGTTTGCTTTCGCTTTCATCGACAGAAGAGAAGACATATCGGCCAATTGGCTTCTTGACGACTTTCACCAACCGGGGTCATTTCGCCTCCCCGATTTCAGCGAGGAATAGTATTATTTTCATTTTTTATATTTTGTTTGTGCTCTGAAGTTTTTTTAGCTACTGGATTGGTTTTCCGGGGTAGGGTTGCTAGCCCTACGCACAACCTTCCCTCTTTACCCTGGCTTAAGACCGGCTAGTAACTAGTGAACTGGTTAGCCAGGCGCGGTGAACAACAGCCTCACAAAATGGTCAGCACTCGGGCGTCGAGCCGGAAACCCTATGGTCGCTGGTTCAAATCCGGCAGCGGTTCAAATTTTCATTCCACCTTCATTCATCACCTAGTATAAATATTAGTCTACCAAACTACGGCTATCTGAGATAGTCAAAATGCTAATTATACGTTAAATTATATCTTACATCTTAGACACAAGTTATATTTGTCTAAGTCTCACCATATTTGAAAGAAATCATCCCACATTTTCGTCCAGACGTTTGGTCCAAGTTTCGTCACAGAATTAGGCATGGACATATATAATATGGAGTAACGTAGATACCCACTTAACTGTGAATAGTAGTTTCTTCTCGGGTATGATTATGTTAACCTCTTGTATAAAAGATTTAGCGTAGAACATTCAACAATCTATCAGTCTGTTCCTGGGATAAATTCTACACTGCGAGATTTTTAAATTCCGGCAATCTTCATAAAAGAAATTATGGTGAAGTCGCCTAGCCTAGTAATGAAGTAGCCAAGAACAAACCATAAAGTTCAGGTAAGACTGAACACTTATCATCCTCATTTTGAGACAAATTTCCGCTGCCTTAATAGAATGATCCTCGGAATGCAAAGTGTCGTCTACATTTTGGTTTTAAATACATAATTAGACCAAAATACCTCTCAAGTTGTGGGGGGTTGGTGAACAATAATCATAGAGATTTTAGGTAAATCATGAAGATAATAAGTTTGAGAAATCAAGATGTAAATAATCAGTAGAGTAGTTAAAATTGGAAATATGAATATTGATAGAAACAAGGGGAAGGGGAAGAGGTGTACAAAGTAATCCTAGAAGTTAGATCATGTTGACTGCCACGGTAATGAAAGTGGTCGAACAAACTCCTTTTGAATACAAAGGATAGGTTTGTTTGTAAAGGTGGATTGGAATCATCTCTGCTATGCAAAGTAAACGAGTGAGTAATCCATGTGGTGAATTAATTAGAATCTGATGAATGATTCTGAAAGCTTTTCTAGTATCTACTTGATGTCCTGTATCAACTAAGTGTGCAAGTATGTAGTTCTTTATTCCTTGCTTAACCATGATGCATAGTGTTCAGATATTCGACGATGGAACTGCCTCATTGTATGCCCTATGTGACTAGCTTCACAGGGGCAGTTGAATTGATAAATGGACATAGAAGTAGCAGAATCAGGCAGTTTGTCTTTATTTCTTGAACCTAGAATCACACCGCTGTAGACGTTGGGACGTAATTTAGCTGCTGGAAATGCTTTATGCAAGACTCTTGTTATGCTTTGTGTGATGATCACACTAGCAATTTCACTGTTGAATTTCAGCTTCAAGAAGATTTGCTTCTTAGGAACTGTTGGCATTGTTTTCTTAACCATTGTAATATTCATGTGGTTAGTTACAAACTTGTCTGGGTAGCCATTCCTACTCAGCAGATCACGGGTGGTGGCGCACTCATCCATTATAGCATTATGTGGGGAAATAGCTGAGGCACGGTATGCTAAGCATTTCACTAGGTTCCTTTTGTATTGGAGGGGTACAGCACTCAAGAAATGCTTATATTGACCTGTTGATATTGGTTTTCTATATACACTTCGTTTCAAGGTTCCATCTGACCTTCTATTGTGAAGTCGATTACCGGATGAATACTATTGAACTTATTAAGAACAGCATTCTCCACTGAATCAGTCTCTTTTCTAAGTGTCCAAATAGGAATACTCAATGTACCGATAATTAGATATTTTATGCTAAACAAAGCTGAAGAGTAAGCCTGACTAAGCCTGTTGACAATACACATTTATTTAATCTGGTGAAATATGCTTGAATATGAAGTTTTCAAGTATTCGAAACTCTTCCTTAGCTTGAACGTTTAATATTTCAAGGGTATGTAAAAACCTATCAGATTTCAGTAAACTATAAGTCTGATGGTAATTTCTCAGTCATACAGTATTCTAAAAAAGAGGATACAGTCGTGATTATGGCTCCTACTGCAGTTGCCAATTATTATCGCCATCTGTGAATTATATCATAAAGGTATTAAAAATGATATTGAATAAAGCAACATGTCATTTCATTCCTGGAGATGATAAGAGGAAGGTGAAACAATTGAACTTCATTAGGTTTTTCAAAGAAAACATTCTTTCCGGATAATGAGAATATTTTTTCTAAGGAGTATTAACTCAAATGAGTAGTTGGTTGAGTTGAACTGTACTGAAAATTATGAATTATTCACTTCAAATTCCTGTTGACAGACTGTCTTTCTTATTTTACAATATACAATACAAACAAACAATGCAGCATTGGTAAAGATGATAAACCACTGTCTCATCGTTATCAGTGTAATTATCTGATTGGTTGATTTGTCAGTGTTACAGACTACTTAAATGATAGTGAACAAGTAAGCATGATAGTGTGAGAACAATTTTATTTCATTGAACTATCAAACAGTAGATTACTAATTTCTGAGAATTACTTAATTTCTCATTATGCGTAAACTTGTTGACTGTGTCATTATGTTATTCGGTAAGTTATTCTGTAAACTATTTTCCTGTAGTTGTCAAGTGAGTAAATTTTTTCAAAATAATTAGGATTAAAATTATTATGGAATAGAGAGATGTTCAGGTTTTCCCAGTTATCAAAAAATAAACCAAATTGTTATCATGTTGTAGTTAATTTATTGGTTAGTAGTGGAATTCAGGATGCATGTTTCGTCCTATTCCCGACTCATCAGCTGCGAGTAATATCACCCAGTGAGTGATGTTATTCCCATAGAGACTTGAATCCAATGCTCATCGCATTGAACTCCAAAGTCTTAGTCATTAAACCACAACGGCACAATGGTCACCCCTTCTGCTATAGTTATTAATAAACTAAATCGGTATCGGTTGCTTAGCGTCGAACAAATCCGCACTTGTTTCATGAAGGTATTGGAGTTTATGACGATAATCAGTCATCAAATGTTTTAGGATTGAGCTTATTGTTTACAAATATAAGCTTTACCGAGATGTTAAAGTAAGTAAGTAACCAAAAAGAGACATTTCACTATGACTACAAGTTGTTATTCTGACGATAATTTTTCGAGAGTGTATTTAGGTACCAAGTTGTAATATGTCATTGATGTCGAAGTGTTTCTTTTCATCATGTGATTGAATTCTGAATTTTCCGCTTCTTCATATTCCTGGTAATGCTCTGCTGTAGAAAGTTTATACCAACAAATGAAGCATATTAGGAATATGTTACTGCTCAACTGGTCAACTAGAGTCAATTAGGGTGTCTCAGAGGGGACACCGCCACTCACTGAGGTGCAGGTTGTAAATAAAACGAAATGCGCACCCTCAACTCTACTAATAACCGCCGGGAAGTAAATTATAACCGGGTGAATTGGGTTCGTAAGACATAGAAACACAATTGAATATGGATAAGTAGACCATAATAATAAATGAAATCTAGCAATGAGTGCTGTCATACACAATTGGGAAATACGATAGCATAAGGTGATAATTTTATAAAGTAACTTTGGTCGGTGGAGAAAGATACTGATACCTGAAACTGTGTTTACCAAATCGACACTTGGCTCATATAGTAGAAATGACGCAAAATCGAATAAGTGTAAAACTTTACTTTCAATTAAGTGAAAGAATGATAAACAATCGAACTATAAAACTAGACCAGTCTATTGTATGATTACTCTGTTCTGTTCGAGATGTCATCAGTATCGAATACTGTCTCACTGTGTAATGCATATAAACATATTATACTCATATCCTACTCTCAAAACAGTAACGCCACTTAGGAAGCATTCATAACTTATATTCAATTAAATGAGGTGGCTAGTTCTCCTAATTGGTTAGTAAGAATTCAAAAAGTTTGAACAATACAGTTCTCTCTGAGCTTAATCATTCTGGATAGACTTCTAATGAATTCTGCAACAAATGAGCGAAACAACCACGCCAGTGTTCAGACTACCTTGATGTGGTTATCGAGCACTGCTAAACGATATGAGTATCCTAGAACTACTCATGTTACTAAATACTATTATTTATATTATTATTATTTGTCCCTTGGGTTCCAAGTCGAACATAGGGCTTCAGTAGTACGCATCCATTCCACTCTGTTCTCTGCAATCTTTTGAACCTGGCTGAACAACTGAGTACCCTCCTTAGCTTCTTTGTCCAGTGTTTTATACGTTGTACTGAGTACCTCCTCTCTTTGAGCTTCCTTGCAATGGCTCATCTTCTGCTTCAACATCCTCCTCTCCATCACCTATCAACTTCCACGTGTCCATCCACATCCATTCCACTCCTCGTATTCTTTCTTCTTCCTGACTAACACCGTTATGCAGGTTTCTTTACACACAGCTTTCAAAGACTTCCAGTGTTCATCCACACACCGTTCTTCAGGAATGTTGCATCATATCTCCCACTTTGTCTAGATGGCTGGAGTGAAAATGTTCCTTGTAGTTTCCTCCTTCAGTTCACTCTCTGTTCCAGGTGTTCAACTTGAACTATGGTCTATCGCCAACTTCTTTGAAGAGTTCAATTTGATTTTGAAGATAGGTTCGTTGCACTAGACAGTGAGTGGTGTGGGCCTACATCTGCTCCCCTTCCATATCTTGTGTCCAGTAGGCTGCCTGTCCACTTTCTTCACATTGAGATGAAGTCGATCTGATTTGTAGTGTGGTGTGTCGTGGTGTCTGGTGAGATCAAATCTATGTCGCTTTGTGGATATTCTTGTACTTGAACATAGTGCCTCCAATCAGCGATTCGTTGAATGTGCAGAAATCTACAAACACTTCTGCATTCTCTTTTGTTTCACCTAGTGGTCCATGAACCATGATTGGTTCTCTTCCTGTGTTATCTGCTCCCAGTTTGTCATTCATGTCGTCCAGTTACTAAATACAGACGAATGTATAGGCTGTATTTCAATACACTTTAAATGAAATCATTCTTATTTCCATCCTTATTTACATCAAGCATTTGTGAATAGCTTACTTGATATATCAGTCATCATTTCTTCTTCAAAGCTTTTCAAGTGTTTCTTTTTAGTGTCAACATCACACTGAATCTTGTAAGTATTCAGTTGAAATTATTATTAGGGGTTTCAACAGAACCTCAGATTGTCCAAAAGATGAAAACATGACTTTTTTCTTTCTGTGCATACCATACTCTTGTCAGCCAAATAATTGGGTTTTCATTAAAGCGCATGTATAGATTATTCTAAGGTAGTACGGAACAATAGATTAAAACAAATAAATCCTTACAAATCTCAAACCTATTGAAACTCGGCGCTCAAATCTTTCCAAGATAATTAAAACAACTACAGACTAAACATTTATAACTAGATTATAGAAGAATATTTCAACAATTTCTTTAGTAATAGATTGCTGATTATAGACACTGTATGACCAAATACATAGGTGATAACATACGTTCAATAAAGTCTTATTTTCAGTTCAATCGAACTCTTAAGTATAAAAAACTTAGAAAAAAATTACTTTTATCTAAGAAATAAAGACACTTATCTCAAAGGTATGTTTTTTACAAATGTGAGTGAGTATAGAATGTAAGTTTATCGGTTTTAGGTACTCATTATTATTATTTGTCGCTTGGGTTCCTAATGGAGCATAAGGCCTCACTAGCTCGTCTCAATTACACTCTGTTCTCCGCAGTCTCGCTCCACGACTGCCCGCAACCTTTCATTTCTTCCTCACATGATTTTTTCTATATCAAACACACCTCGTATGCTTAACTCGTCGTTTCCACTTTAGATTCCACTCAAGTGCCTGGCCTGCACGTGATATCTCCGAATAGTTTTCTCAGTGTATGCCCAATCCAACCCATCTCCACTTTTTTAAACATATTTGTTGGACGATAGGTACTTGGTTGATAGTTGCCAGCCAGAGTTGGTTATTCTATCTAGCCATCTGACCTTCAGTATCAAGCCAGCGTAAGCTGCAGCTGTTGATGAATGTCTGTAGTTTGTTGGAAATGTATTTAGTAACGTGCCAAATCTCTCAACCATATAAAAGTACTGACTTGACGTTGGTGTTGAAAATCCGGATCTAGTTCACGCTTTGTGCTGAGTGCAGTCGATCTCCACACTGATCATTTCAGACTAATGAAGGCTTGTTTTGGTGTCTTTCCAATCGTGTCTTTGACATCCTCATCTCTGCCGCCGCCTGTAGTTGAAAAGATGCTGTCTAAGTAGGTGGACGAGATAACTTCCTTTAGGTTTCTCCCGCTGATGGTAATTGATGGCTGTTGTCATTGGTTGAGTATCTTCATTACCCCTCTCTTCTCTACATTCACTTGAAGTCAGTCCCGTCTTCGCTTCCTATTCTGTCAACGTTTTGGTTTTTGCCTTTAGATCTTCGAGTTTGTGGGATACTAGACACAAATCATCATCAGCGAAATCCAAATCTTCTTGTGGGGTCTTTTCATCGGTCAAGCGTATGCTTGTCTTCTCTCTCCCCACTGTTTGTTGCATGATCCAGTCGACCACAGTCAGGAAGATCATCGGTGATAATAGGTAGCCTTTTCTTACCCTTGTCTTCACTTCAAGGGCATCAATGAGCTTTCGATTATGAGTCACTTTGCATGTAGCATCATATGGCATAGAATACAGCTGTTGAATGAGGTTGATAAAGGTTTGTGGTACTGAAACCGTAGTGTTGAAGCAGCTGCCTGTCAAATTACTTCTCTGTCAACTCTGTCGAAGGCCTTTTCAAAGTGGATGAAGTTGAGGTTGAGTTGATTTGATTGTCATTCTCTACTCTGTTCTATGATGATGTGTAGTGTAGTGTTTCAAGTTGATCCTTAGATGACTTGTTCTACCTGAAGCCAACCAGCCTGTTCTGGTCGTAATTTTGAATCCAGTGCACTTAGATACTCACTGATGATGACTAATTCGGGAAGGGATCTCTGACTACCAAAGAAAGAATTAGTGATACAGAGTTGTTGAGCAATAGCTTATTTTATTAGATCTGTTTCCCATCACTAGTTGATAGACAGTTTAAACCGAATTAATCTGATGTTAGAGAAAATTATATTTTATGTACATATTTCTAGGTACTTTTGTTTTTAGCATTGACTGAAGGAGTAAGCAAATTGTTTACACTGACAAGTATAAAAGAGATCCTCAGAATCTTGGGAAAAATAACACTTTCAGAGAAGTAGATGACTTTGCATTTTTCCTGTTTATTATGATTCTCAGAAAAGATAAGTCTAGTTATCAAAAACTCAGGGAATTAATGTCTTTGGAGATAAACTGTACACAGTATAATGTTTCGTATGTTCTTTGCTACATGTTGAATAAGCATACAAGAAATGGACATTTTAAGTAGTAACAAAATTCCCAACTTACTACATATACTACTCATAAAGTTTTCACTAGTCGTTATTACCTAGGAAAGACAACAAATAGGAAAAGTGTAGGAGTATTGTCAAGAGTTTGTTGGTGAATTTTTTTTCAGTAAATCCGCTTGAGGTTAGAAGTAACCTGAAGATCCTGGGTGCACACTACTA